AAGTGATGACAGCTATTTTCTGAAGCAGGCAGAAAGGTACCAAGTGGTACAATAAAGCATTGTTTCATAGTACATAACCATGTGATAAAAACAAAAAGGGGCTCTATGTTTAGCTTGCCGCTAAGGCTTTAACATATACAGCCATAAATAAAGTTATGGCAACTTTTACACATTAGCTGGCCAAGTTTTAAGTGATGTCATATGTACCATATGTTGGATAACAGTATAGCCATGCACTATGAAATAAAGATATCTAAGAGGTCGAAAGGAAGGTGACCAAGGCTGTAAAGTGTCTGAAATGTGACACCAGAGACCTTCCTGTCTACACAGGACTGGTCTCACAGCATCAGGAGGTTGCTAGTTTTCACTGCTTACACACACTGTTTGTTCCCCATATGGGAAACTACTGAAGCTAAGAGCACACAAAAAAGCCTTAGCTGCTGTTTGACATGTCTTTATTTGAACTGAACTAGTTTGGAAGAAAGGAAGATTGAGGCCTTGCTGCACTGTGTGGCTCTTCCTTTGGGAAATTAAAGTTCTGCTTTTCTTGCAGATAAAGACTACAAAAGAGCTAGCAAAAGATATATTTGGGCTGTAGAAAACAAGGATATTCCACCCTCTGCTTATTGGAACTATAGAGATAATTGCATAAATGGTTGAACTTTTTGGTCTTGGCAGAAAATTCTGCCACATGGGCCACCACAGGAAGTGACTGGTCACAACAGCAGCCCAGAGCACTGCTGAGAGGTAATTGGATTCAACAAAGTTAGAACTACTGACTTTCCCACTCTGCGGCTGCCACAAAGCATGAGGATGAAATGTTAATGTTTAAGCACATCTACTAACACTGAAATCTGTGCAGTGATATCAGGCAAATTACCAACCATGTACTTTTGCAGTCAAGCTTTAGTTGTTGCATGACACATAAGGGACAGTTCCTGTGTAGTCAAGCATCCAAACCCAGCTAACCCTACATCTAGAACTCGTCCTGCTTCTGTACTTGTGCTCGTCATGTGCAGGGCTTAGTTTTTAAAATAGGCGTCTCAAGCATAATGCCCAGGGCCCAGAA